AATAAGATTCTTATATGTTTGAGAGTCGGTGTTCCAAAATACTTTGTATTTCTCAACAGTCAATACAGACTGCCACCAGGAATCCCACAGTGAAACGTAGAAGAACAAGTCTGGGGATCTCAATGAAGTAGGTTAGGAAATGTTTACTGTATTGTCATGGGTTGTGCAATGCCTTACAGATGAACAGATGTTAGGCAACTTGGAGGTTAATGTCAAACTATTTCTGATCAGTATTCCTGCAGAAATTGAATATAAGCAGTAATAATATGTTACAGGAGGTAGTGAGCTGAGATCTGTTAAGAGATCTACAAACAGTAGGATGTGCAAGGGATTTTTCAGCTCATTAAATGTAACAAAACCAGAAATAACTTCATTTCAGATTTTGGTGGATCTGTGTCATTTCTCTTTCTGATGAGTTGGAAAGCAAAACAAAAAAATTACATATCATAACATTTTCTGACCTAGAACTTAAAATTCTTACTTTTCATGGGGAAGAATGGAAGGCGAAGGTGCTAAAAGGTGCTTACAGAAAAGAGCAATCTCACAGAGAGTATAGCCTGTTAGCATAAACTTAGGTGGCAATGAAAATGGAGATAAAAAGAACAGATATTTGATGCTAACAATACTTTGCAAGTTTGGAAACACTTTATAAAAGAAAGCAAGCCAGTTTGTAAAAACTGTTTGTCTTTACTGCAAGAACTGATTTCATGATGACATAAAGAATAAAAAACTGGACCAGTGACTGCTGGGCCTTTTCATTGTAGTTAGGGTATTTAAAAGTACTGGGAAGAACAGTACCCTCTCAAAACCACACTAGATATTTTGCCCCGTGGTAGATTTGCTTTCTTATGTCAAGGAATACCCTGCATAGGCTGTCACCTCTATTCTCTTTATGGAAAGCTGAAGAGGCTTTGTTAATTTTCAAGCTACAAGGGGGAAAGATTTTTCACCTATGCTGTAGTATCAGAGTAGAAGATGAAAATTATTGCCCAGCTGACTGACATTGCAGGGAGGAGGTAATGAAAGAAATGGCTGCAATGCTTGTGTTTGAATGGTAGTTATAATATTTTACAGTAATATCCTTCTTTCTTTCCCCAGGCTTGCTGTTACAGCCTTGGTCACACAGTAAGCAATGGCTAAGCAAAAAAAAAAGAAGGATTCTGGTGAAAACTTCTCATTGTTAAGAAGAACCTGGAGTTTATAATACTCTTACCATCACAGTATTTGCTGTGGGTCCCAAGCACATGCAGGACATGCCTACATTTATGACAGCACTGCCATCTGTATAAGGCGATCACTTTCTCATTTAGCAACCGGTTTTTCTGCTGCCCACTGAAGAAATTGCCTTAATCATTGCTCATGCTTGCCACTGTGTGCTGGTTTTGTCTGGGTTAGTGTTAATTTACTTTGTAGTAGCTGATATGGGCTATGATTTTTATTTGTGGTGTAAACAGTGCTGATAATACAGGGATGTTTTAGTTACTGCTGAGCATTGCTTACACAGCCTCAAGAGTCTCACTGGCTTCACAGCCGGGACAGCCAACCCCAACTAACCAGAGGGATATCCCGGACCATGTGGCATCCTGCTCAGTATATAAAGCTGGGAGGAGAAGAAGAAAGGGGAAAATGTGGAGTGATGGTGTTTGTCTTCCCACATAAGTGTTATGCATGATGGAGCTCTGCTTTCCTGGGGCTGGGAAATGCGCACACCTGCCTAGTGATGGAAAATAGTGAATGAATTCCTTGTTTTGCTTTGCTTGTGTGCATGGCTTTTTTAGTTACCAGCTGGGGTTAAACCATGACACACTGCAAAGAGATCCTTGACATGCTAACCCATGCTTTCTTACCACGGCAAACACTTGCACAAGCGCAAGAGAGCAAAGGAAAGAGTTAGCTATAATTTCCACACTTGGGTTTTGAGCTACCTTCCAATTGCTGTGCATAAAAACGCAATACTCCCGCAAGCAGCCTGTGTCTGACCCATGCATGCTGTAGGACAGAAGGGTTACTCTGCATCAGTCTCCTGAAAGTTGCCTCACTATGCAGTTACTTACTCTTGCCAGCAAACCTGGGCTGCTCCTGCCCTACCCATTGCCAAGAGTCAAACCAAAGCTATGAATACAAAAAACACATACAAAGAAGAATCCTAGAAGTAATGTAAGACCAGTTTCTGGTCTTATTTATTTGGCACAACAGGAGGGGAATAGAATCATAGAATGGTTTGGGTTGGAAGGGACCTTACAGACCATCTATTTCCAACCCCCTGCCATAGGCAGAAACACCTTCCACTAGACCAGGTTGATCAGAACCCCATCCAACACATCCCAGGAAAAAATTGTGACCCTACCCCAAGCAGTTCCTTCAGAATTACTTTCTTCCAGTGATTACACAGCACAGACAACAGCAATACGGATTCCATAAACACAAACACTCCAACAAACCACCAAAGCATAAAACTGCTTTCTATTAAGCATGTATGTATTGAAAAAATTAAGGTTAAAATCAAGCTGCATTTCCTCCGAAGCTAGCTGCTCTTCCATAGACAGGCAAATTTGTATTAGAAGCAATATTTAGAAAAAATAAGCAAAAGGCTTTTATTTTTCCTGTTTACTTCTTCCAAAACAATATCCTACCCTAATATCAAATCAAGCACAATTCTAATATCCACTATCTAATTGCAAAAAGACAGCAAATAAGGAAGAGTAAAAGACTTGTTCTTTGGGTCACAGCTGCTGCAAAAAACTGTTATTCTACCCATGTGTTTCCTGCTGTTTTTTTTTGCAACCCATGGTGCATTTAGGATGTGCATTGTTTAATAATCACCCACATTAGTAAGATTTTAAAGAAACAAGTAGCCCTACTGCAGTACTTAGAGTTGAACTGTTAAATCAAATTCACTTCCTCATGTAACTCCTCTCAATTTCTTTCAAGTGCAGAATACTTCATCATATTTTCTTTCTCCTTTCTCTCCAGTTTTTTTTTTTTACTTTTTACTCAGCAGCATGCAACCTACTGTGATAATACCATTGCAAAAGTGGCAATGCTGCATATGCCAAAGAGCTGTATCTGATAATGCGGAAGATGCCAAAACCAGGCCTGCAAATGAAGAAAATGTGTTCTTTGACTCAAGCATGGCATCTAGTTGGTTCTATCCTTACTTGGGAGTTTGTATTAAATAGCTTTTTGTAACTGGGATATCCACTTTTGCATCACCAATTTGTCTCACAGGATGACACTTGCATGACACTTGCTCTGCCTTTTTCCCCAAATAAGACCTGCTGGTTTCCAGTGAGTTCCTTGGTGGATGATGGAAACTAACTGCTGGTACTAAATATGGGAAGCTAACTCACATGCTATATGTGAGGTCTGGCAGAGCTGCTCTTCAAGAGCTGCTGTGGGTCAGTTAGTCTTGTCCTAAGAGCAGCAAGGTTTGTGTGGTCTGAATAATGTAGCTGGTATGTTTGTTGCTAAATTAATTACATTGTGGAAGCACTGCATGCTTCTTTCTCAGTTCTCAGTTAAGCTGCAGCCATCAGAAATTAAAACAATGACTGTTTTGCTGATTGGGATTTATAATTAAAAATCACGTTTTCCTCCACACTTCCCACCCAAAAACAAGCAAACAAACAAAAACAAACCAAAAACCAACCCATAACCAACTAAAAATACAACCAAACAAAACCCACCAAAAAAACCCTCAGGATTATTTTAGAATGTTTCTTCTTCCACTTACTACTTATTTTCTAAAACATATCCTGAGCTGCAGAGGTTCAAAACAGCCCATCTAACTCAGTGCTATATTAATATGGAGATGTTCTAACCAGTTTTTCTACATTATTAATATCACTACCTCCTGCACTTGGATTGCTCCTTTTGCCTCACACTATTTACCTTGGCAAAGAAATAACAGTGGAAACCTGTAATTTATGCTGCAAAACGGGTTGAGCAGAGGACTCTATAGAGTCTACTTTACCTTACAGAACTCATTAACCCCACAAACTTTTTTTTGTTTGTTTTTCTTTTTCCCTGACAGCCATCATCAGTGTAGTATCAGGTTTAATTAAAAAATTCAGGTAGTCCTTTGTTGCCTAAAAAAAGAATCAGAGATTAGTACATGCCATCACGAATTTTGGCAACTTTGTTCTTGGACTTGGCAACCAGAACATGCTAACACAGAACAGATATTTTGAGATATTGCAAAAGATTTACTCGTGTGTGGAAAAGGGCATATCTGGGGGTGGTTTGAAGAATCTTCCACTTCCTTCTTTGGCAGAAGGGAAGAAATAGTCTGTTTACTTTTCAGATTGATATTTTCTCACACAAGTGACTTGAACAGTCATTAACTGTCTGTAGAGGTAAGAAAGAAGCTGGCACAAAAGCATCCAAACTCTTTTGTCTGATGTTAGGGAATGTAAAAATAAACATGAGCAAACTTCTTGGTTTAAGCAGAAATCAATCCCTGGAAAAAAAAAATCTCTCAAACATCTATTTTGAGCTACATATTTGCTTTCAGGCTAAACAGCTAGTAAATTTTTACTGCCTAGAGTAGGCCTGTTAATTGTAGTTCTGTAGTAGACCTGTACAATATAAGTTTCTGAACCTGTTGCCTTTTGGAGGAACCTAATACCAGCTACCTCAGAAATTCAATATATTCTGAAAAATCTTTCAGAAGAAGCTGTGCAAAAACATCCACCACCAAACGCAGTTACTAACCTTTTTTAACCTTTTGGTTTACTGCACTGCTCTATTCCTGGCACCTCATTCTCCGCATAGCCCTTCAATAGGTGACCCATAATCCTCTAAAAGTTCACATTTAGAATCAAAGAAGCAAACAAGCAAACAATCTGACAATGCTCATAGATAATGCACAAATCTGATTTCATGGGCTGGTTGGTATCAGTGTACCTGGTTTCATTTCAGTAATACATAAGCCATGGCCTTATTCATTACCACATCCAGGTGAGACTTTGCATACATAAGGTTCATACTTGCAGTTTGTGGCCTCACTCAATTCAGTGTGAGCACTCCCTCGTGCAAATTTTTCTCAGTGAGAACAACATTTGGTATCTTTCATTCAGTCTCACTGCAGCCAGGTGGAAAATGCACACAGCTGAACCTGACAGTTCAAGGAAGATCAGTACCTCTGTTGTTGTGACCTTTCTGTGTAGGAATTTCATCAACTTCTCCATCTCCATTTATTGTAGCTTTCTTACAGACTTTTTCCAAGGGCACAGATTCATGAATTAATAGAGAAAATGCTAAAAAAAGACAATTGTTTACCTGAAAAAAAAGACCTGGCCAATGAGTGTCCTTAACACCTTGATCTAATAGTTGCTGAAGCATCAAGCCAAATTCTGATTTCAGATACCTCAGTTTAAATACTCAGTAGATTTCTTTAAGGTAAATTGAATTATAATGCTTTAAATAAAAATAAATTGCTTGAGAACCTCAGTCTATACTTTACTTCTTCACAGTGTAATGAAACTCCATCAGTTTACCTCTGTTTGCTAGTTGTCCATGTATATGTTTGCCAGTAATATGGATTATAGTAAATTCTAAATTAGTAAAAAAGTCAGTTATTCAGAAATTTAAAAGTTAAGATGATTATATCCTGTTCTTTAGTTGGCATTATATACATATAATGGTTTTAATTCAATCAACTTTCAGTCCTGAACCAGTTTCCGAAGAATCATGTCTAATACATTAAAGGTTCTCTAATGTGTTCTTTCTTCATTAGCAGAGCCTCAGTATATTCAACATTAACTGAATATGGGTAACATCTACCACTTCATCTTGCACCTCTTCACAAGCAGAATGTGCAATGCAAAGATTTGCTGTGGTACGAATGAAGATTTTTTTTTTTTCTTCTTGACTTTGCTTTCAATATAGCTATTATCATGCATGTATAGCACAGAGAAGAAGCAGGAGGAAAATTGTGTTCTTTATTTAATTCCAAAACTATAGAAAATCTATACAGGTACTCTATCTTCTTGATTTTTGCACAACTTCAAGCTGCATTATTAGAAAGGCTTCTTTGTATTTGCTTAAGTGCAGTTTTTCACAGTGAGATAACCTCTCTTTATTTCTCATTTCTTTTCTGGCTTGGTCCTAGAAAATAACAGCCTACAGGTTTTCTCACACAATAGCTTTTTCACTTCAGATTATTTAAAGAACAGTGATTTTCTTGAGTGATTTTCTCTGCTGTATCAATTTGTATTGCTACAGCTTGTTGCTGTCTGTTAGAATAAAGATTTTTAGCATCAAACTTGCTTATGATCTTCATGTTCCTTACTCTGGACAACTTGTGGAAGAAAGTGCTGTCTCAGATTACTGGATGATTTCTCCGTAAATTTAAACTATGTCCATTGATTTCCAGTGCTGGTTTAAACCCTTTTTGGTGAACATTATCCTAAGGTACAGAGAGCAGCCAACTGACAGATCAAATAACATTAAGAGTAGATAGAAGGTTAAATAGATGGATTAAATGAAGATATCTGAGCCAAGAAGCCTTTGTGCAGGACAATGAGTCTTTCTGATGTTGCAGTTTCAATCTTCATGTATGGATCTTGAAGGAAATTTGTTTTTATTCCAGGGTGGTAACAATCCTACTTCCTAGCAGAGCTACAGAAATGACTTTAAGGCATGTGCCAGCAAGCCAAGGCACAAAAAACATGTCAGAATATTTATTTATAATAATTTTCTCTACCAAAGCTTTTTACATTATAGTGCAAATATCAAAACTTGTGTTCAAGATTGGTCAGGCTTGTTTGTATCTTTATGTACTTATGTATTTATTTTTACAGATATCTTCCTTATATAGAGCTGTTTCACCATTTCAAGGGGTCACCAGTGGTGTAAGATAACTCTGGAATTCTCTCAAGGAAAAAGGGGAAAAAGGTGTGGTGTTTCATTCTTCTGAGGACTGAAAACCTTTTAAGAGAACAGAGCTGCTCTTGACCACTTACTACTGAGAGCAAGAAATTAAACCCTTTCTTTCTTGACATCAAGAATGAATCAAGACATAAATGATTCTTGCATTTTGGTTGGTTGGTTGTTTTTATATTTACCTCTGCCACAAAACACCTAACACAGGTGGTGTGAACACCACATGATAAGACTGGGCTTAGGAAAAGAAAGACCAATAGAAAAAATTGCAAAGAGATCCTAAAGGAATTTTGTCCCTCAGGAAGGCTCCACAGAGCTGCTGAAAACATGCAAGAAGAAAGTGCTTTTGTTCTGGGTATTAGAGATTCCTTTAATAATTGATACAGAAGTGAAACTGTATGTTTATCAGACTATATCAACACTTAGAAATATACAGATTACAATTCCCTTAGGGAATGGCGCACCTAGTCCAGTAATGGAAAATATCAGAAAGTTACTAAGAAAGGTACTTAGAAAGGTGATAAGTATTCTTGACCTAGAAAGTATGAAGGTTGAAAAGGATCAGGTATGAAAAGGAAACTTAAAAAGTTCTTACAAGAGACCTCAGTTTTATAAGCAGTCCTAAAGGGTTAGGGAACCCCTGATCAGCATCTGTTCACAACAGACATGAGACATTCAAACCTAAAAAAATGTTTACATATAACCCATACTTAAACTTAGAATAAAAGAAAAAAAAATATATGGCAAATTGCAGAATGTAAATTGACTAGGCTGTAATTAGGACCCCACATTTAACCTCCAGGGCAGAGCAATAATGGACTACATGACCAAACCACTACCTCTTGGGAACACAAAGAAACAAGACAGATTTGGAAACTTAAGTCTGGGAAAAAAAAAAAAAAAAAGCCAATAGGATGGGTTTGGAAAGGGTACTGTAAAAGACTGTATAAAGTGTACAAAAAAATGCATGTTGTAGTGGTATCCGTCATTTTGACGAAACTGCTACATTTCCAAGAGCTTAAGCCATCTGCAAAAGCCTCTAGACAAAGATGAAATTCCTAATAAAAATGAAAGTATGCTCTTATTCTGTGGTACACTAGTACTGGTTCTAGTAACTGTTCAATAGTCAGTTGTACCTACTAATATGAATAAACCTGTTGTGGTTTATGGTAATATACATATGATTATGTGAGGTCTAGTTTACAGTAAAGTCACAAACAGGCAATAATTAGATCATACACCAAGGGACAATTCTTATAATAGATTCATGTGTATTAAATATAGAAGTTAAGGGTAATTTTATGTTACAGGAATTACACAGCCACCACCTAGTCCATGTTAGTAATTATGTGAATGCCAGCTCAGCAGGGCTTGGCCTTAGCTTCCTCCTCAAAGAAGACAAGTTGGCAATCTGCTAGGTAAATAAGTGGTTTATTTATCTAACATGCAGAGCAGCTCAAGCTGGGTGCCTCAAAGGAGGAACACTATTGCAGACCATGCACCCTAATTACACCCTTACAGATAGATTCCTGGCATGTATCACCCATTATTTAATGCCCACGTTCAATCGCTTAGTTCTGGTCAGTAGTGTCTTGATTTCTTATTATTTTTCTTGATTCCTGGGCTGGCCTTCTTCTGAAGTTAGCACATTTTCTCAGAATTGTTTCCCTGGTCTTTTATCTTCTTAATTCTGCTTGTTTCTGCAGGTTTCAAGGTTTCAGCTATTCTTGTGGTTGCAATATTAGCTTTACCCAAAATTTTATCCTTGGACAGTTTTTCTAACGTAAGGTTTCAAGTACTGCAGTTTCAAGTGCTAAGCAAGGCTATTAATCCTAACAATTCCTAACACATGGAAATACACAGATTGCAATTCCCTTAGGGAATGGAGCATCTAGTCTAGCAATGGAAAATATCAGTCTGTAAATTTTATTCATAGCTGACATAAAAGAAAAGAACTCCCATGGGAGCACTGGAAAATGCATGTGTTCAGATCTCATACTTTTGCAGTTTCTCAGCAATCACATATAGGGTACTTCTATGGAGGTGTCGTACAGGGAGACTGGCTGCCCAGAGAAATAGAGCAGGACATTCTGTTTCCAGCAGAGCAAATTTTCATTAAAAATAGCTTACTGCTTGAAAAAATTTCAGCTGATCCCAGGTAACAGAGCAACCCTGCTATAAAAAAGGAACCCACAATAACAGATAATGTACAGTGAAAATTTAACTGGAAAAAAAATCAGAAATAACAAAAGTACTTCCCATTTCACAGAAATCAGACAAAATGTCATAAAGAATGTAATGGGGGGGAAATTGTGAGTAGATGTTGAAATCTTGATGTAATAAAGAAGGAACAAAGTAAAGACAAGAGATGAATGCTGTACATACAAGTAACATCTAAAGCAACTTCAGGTTCATGGTTCTAAGGTGGCATTAATTTGTTTGGATATGCTGCAAAAAAAGTGTTGATACTGAATTCTTTTTAACCTTTATCTACACATAGCAATACCAGACAATATAGCATGAAATAATACTAGCTGTATACGTTATACCAATAAAATGCAAATAGGCTAAGCACCAGACTACCAGTTTATGAAGCAGCTAATGGCAGTTAATGGCAAAATATTGCAATTGCAAAAACAACTAAATCAGAGATGCTGCTCTTGTAACATAAGATCACATGAGTTTAAACCATTTCTAATGGAAATAGATGTTTATCCAGCAAAACATGAATACTACAGACAATAAAGCAGATCCTTGTAGAATTATTCCTCACAGCTTGTACTGGGTTTGCATGGCAAGATTTTGGCAGCTGGGGCTACAGGGGTGGCTTCTTGCGAGGAAATGCCAGAAGCTTCCTCCATGTGCAATAGTGCCAAGACAGCTCCAAGATGGACACACTGCTGGCCAAGGCTGAGCCCATGAGTGCCAGTAATGATGGTAGTGGCTCTGAGATAGCATATTTAACAAGTGGAAAAAGTTGCTGCACAGCAGCAACTCTCCCAGTTGCAGTGGGAGAAAGAGGAGTAAGAAAGTGTGACAGAAACAGCTCTGCAGAACCAAGGTCAGTGAAAAAGGAAGGGAAGGAGGTGCTCCATGCACAGGAGCAGAGATTCCCCTGCAACCCATGGTTAAACCGGTGGTGAAGCCCAAGGTGAGGCAGACTGTGCCCCTGCAACCCTTGTAGGTCCATGGGTCAGATACTCACCTGCAGCCCATGGAGGGCCTCACACTGGAGCAGGAAGATTCCTTAAGGATGCTGTGACCCCATGGACTGCTGGAGCAGGCTCCTGACAGGATCTGTGGACCCACAGAGAGAGGAGCCCACACTGGGGTAGGTTTGCTAGCAGGACTTGTGACCTGATGAGGGACCCAGTCTGGAGCAGGGGAAGAGTGTGAGGAGTCCCCCCTGAGGAGGAAGGAACAGCAGAAACTTAATGAACTGACTGCAACCCCCATTCCCTGTCCCCTTTCCCTGCTGGGGAGAGAAGGCAGAGAAAATTGGGAGTAAAGTAGAGCCTGGGAAGAAGGGATGGACTGGGGGATGGTTTTATTTCTCATTAGCCTACTCTGATTTGACTGGTAATAAATTAATTTCCCTGAGTCAGTCTGCTCTGCCTGTGATGGCAATTGGTGAATGATCTCTCCCTGACCTTAGCTTTTTGTTATGTATTTCTCTCCTGTGTCCAGCTGAGGAGGGCAGCTTTGGTGGGCACTTGGCGTCCAGCTGGGGTCAACCTACCACAAAGCTGTAACAACAGACTATGTTCAACAAAGGGAGGAAGGAGAAATGAAACAAACTTAAGTGGAAATTTGGTCTATGAAATAGTCAATAGATGATGGAAAGTCAAAGGAAGGGCTTGAGCAGAGCATTGCAGATACAGAGCCTGCAATCCTGCCAGAAGCCTGCACTTAGAGCAACTGTGAGATCAGGCTCTGAAATTCATGAAATGTTTCAGAAGTGTAGAGGAGAAGTGAAACCAACCCAAACATTAGTCCAGAATTCCTTGTGTATACATACTCATCTATGTTTGCAGGTATATATGTGTTTATATTTATATACGTAACAATGGTATTCCTTTATTTTTACTTTGGAAGAGGGGGCTGTCTAAGACAATTGATACTTTTCATAGATAAAATTTGGAAAAGTTTTAAAGGTTGAAGTTTGTCTAATTTGTTAGTGTCTTAGGAGGAACTTGACTGATTCTTCTTATGGTTGAGGGCAGGGGAGAAGGGGGGAGGTGACGCACACAGCTGCTTCTGCAAGAAGAGAACAGGGGTGCCTCATGCTGGACGCAGCTGCTTCCAGATGACTCCAAGATGAACCCAATGCTGGCAAAAGCTGAGCTCATCAGTGACACTAGTGGCACCTCTTAGATAACATATTTAAGAAACAATAAAATATGATGCATGGCACCTGTGAGAGAGAGGAGTAAGAAAAACATAGGAGAAGCAGCCCTGCAGAAACACCAAGGTCCGTGAAGAAAGAGGGGGAGAAAGTGCTCCAGATGTGAACAGGATGGAATGGCAGGGAGGCGCTGTTATGGACTGAACACAACCCTCAGTCCTCATCCACCTGCACCACTCATGGGCAAAGAGGTAAAAGAGTCAGAAATTAAGGAATGAAATTGTCCCTGGAAGAAGTCAGAAGGTTTAGGGGGAAAGAAGTTTTCATTTTATCCTTGTTTCTCACCATTCCACTCTATTTTTAATCAGCAGTTGAGTCTGTTCTGACCATGATGGCAACTGGTAAGCTATCTCTCTGTCTTTGTTCAGACCTGTGAGCTTTTCCATCTTGTCTTCTCCCTGTACCCTGTTGAGGAGGCAGAGTAAGAAAGCTCTGGGTAGGCATCTGGCAGCAAGCCAAAGTCAAACCCATCACAGTGGCACGAGAGGTTCTTAATTTCCCAGTGTACATTTTACAGCTAATTTTGGCAACTCACACCTGCAATCTGCTCCACTCTTGTTTTTGATTCTGCAATTAGAACTAACTGCCAGCATCTTGAAGGAAGTTTGCCACAGGTGGTATAGATCATGCAGTACTGACATGGTTTATTCATATTAAACTTATTTTAAACTTATCTGAAGAATTTGCCTCTCAGAAACTACAACAGTTCTGTGTAAACACAAAACTGGTACAATGAAAGAGTACTTCTAGTATTCATTACGCATATCCTGAGGAATAAAATATGACCCTCCTTTATTAACTTCGGGCATAAGACATGCTCATCTCCAGAAATGAATACTCACCCATATCAGAAAATATTTTGTTCCAAAGAGAAATATGCTATGGTTTGTTTCAGATATATTTTCTTAGAGTGAGGTGTCTTCGTTCTGCCAGACAACATTTTGCGCTAAAGTGGTTTTTGAAGCTGTGGTCATCTTCTTCAGGCCTGTTTTTCTTTCCACACACAGTGTTTGCATTTCTGACTCTCCCCCTCTGATTTATGCCAAGGCATAGCTTTTAAGAGTTCATCTGCAAATTGAAGGTTAGAATTATTTTTTTTCCCTACTCAGGCAGAAAGCAAGCAATAGGGAATCTGGGCAAGAACACTAAGTTTCATAAATTTTACAGCAAAGGGAAACGTTACTAGAGATGTTTAGAGAAAAGATAATACAAATTTCTGTATTGTAGCAACTCTTTCCTTGGAGAAGGATAATGTAGAAAAGGCACAGTCTCCATGTAAAGAAAACTTCAAGCGCTAGCAGAATTCAAAGTCTGATTAGGATCCTTTGTTTACCTCAGGTTAGGTGTTAGCATGTAGCATCTTCCCAATGTTAGATCTGAACTATCTCAAGAAACAAATATTGGGGTTACATTTATTAGATACAAAAACCCAGACAAGTGACCTTTTGAAAAGTTTAGCAGAGAAGCTATTAACATTACAATAGGCTAAAACACTATCTAGCTTTTCATAAAAAGGAAACTTTTACTGCCTTAAACCAGTAAAACTGAGAAGATATAGAAGAATGATCAGTAAGCGTTAGGTTTAAAAACTTCTTTGAAGCTTAAACTTTTGACAGAGCATAAAGGTATGAAGGTCTTTTATAATGTTTGTATTCTTTATGTTCTCCCAGAAATAGCCTAAAAGCCTGGAGGAAGCTGTCAAATGACAAAAGAGATACTAATATCAATTTAGAGCAAGCATACCTATGAGATAGATGTCCTCCTAGTGAAAATGTATTTAAGCTGTAAATATAGTTTAGTTCTCCTGCACCATAACTATGTATGCTTAGCTATGCACAGAAAACTGTTCTTGAAACTTTCTCAGTTATGTTTTCTCTATACCTTGTTCTCACTGGATTGTTGGTCTTACCACAACTATCAAATATTCATGTACCAATTTCATGCAAACCAGTCAAGATTTACAAAAAAAATTGATTATGCAATTTCAATTTCTCATTCTGTGACTTGCTTTCTCTTCACTTTTGTCTGTATTTTGTCTCCAAGTTCCACTTCTTCCATTTATTTAATTCCTGTATTAGTACTCCCAAAATTCTTGACATCTCTTTTTTCTTTTTTACTTTACTTTGTTTCAAAGTTGCCATACAGTCATATCTCTCATTGGTCTATCACGTAGCAGGAAGGGCAGTCTGTGAACCCCGGTGTCTTCGTATTCCAGCCTCAAGGTTAGAAGAGCAAAACCCAGGTGCGAACCCATTTAAACCATTTTCTTTCAGGATCAGTTGACAAAAATCCATGAAAGGAACCATAACTCAAACACAGTCCTTGAAATGTCACAAAGCTGCAAAAACAAGCAATGTATCTTTGCCAGCATGGTCAGTCAAAGATCAGGACCTCTCTTGTCAACCTACAAAGAACTTAGCTTTTTATCTGTTCAAAAGATAGAGAATAACAGACTTCTGAACTTCAGCTATCTACCCAAAATAACTACTTTCAGTAATGACTTTAATTCCCCCCCCCCCTTTTTTTTTCCCTTCTCTTATTTTCCTTTCCATGGGAAGTGGTTTTTAGAGTATGCTTTCTGTTACTGCAGCAATAGACATCAAAACTCTGGTACTTTGCTTGTTTTGATCCAGCACACTTCTTTGCATCTGTAGCGGTGTAAGTAATTAAGGCAGGGAGGAATGAAAAACTGAAAGAAAACATCTGTCCCCACAGCTTACCCAACTCTCTTTTAAGAGCACTTGCTGTTCAGCTCTACTTTTACTATTTCTCATGCTGCAATGTCAATACTGCGATGCCTTGCAGATGGTTTAGCAAGGCAACAAACACTCAAGTCCATGCTACCTGTGACTTGCTGTTCTAATTTACATGCAAGACCAACACAAACAGTCATTGGCTGCAGCTGGGAAAAATAAATGGGAAATCTTGCTCCCCATTCCCATATTTCTCACTCCTGTTGGAAACTCATCAACCTCTACAGGGTTTAGAGGAAAGGCCTTTTTAGTACAGTGCTCCATGCTATGGTTCAGCCCTATAAAAGACACACTAGAAAGACCCCTCTTTTCTCCCCATCTGTTAGCATGTAGTAACAAGCTACTTCTCTACCTACTGATAAGGTCCATCTGCAATGAAAACCTTCTTGATAAAATGACAATGCGGATTTGAGGTATCACAGTCCATTCCCAAACTAACCCGTTCGATCCCAGTGCTGACATGCAGAGGCAATTCTCCCTTCTCTTGGCAGTGTCACCTAGTGGCAGTCTTGAAACCAGATCGTCTCATTTTCTTAGCTTTCAGCCCCTTGGTCCAGCTTTACTGTGCAGATGCATAAAACTCCAGTGTGAGCTCTCAACTGGAATGAGGGAAGGACAGCTTTACGTCCTCTCAGTTTTTCCACCCACTGACCCATTTCAAACCCATCTATCTGCAGAAGCCGGGTTTCTGGCGGCCCGGCAGTGCCGGGGGGAGGTGGCAAACCACCGTCTGCGGGAGCTCCTGGCCCGCCGGGTGCCCGCTCACAAACGCGCGGATGCCGCAACCAAACCGAGCCCGTTCTCCTCCCGACCCCCGGGGAGGCACACCGCACGGTGGGCTCATCGGTAGTTTGGACCATGCCCTTGAGGATGCTGCTGCCTCCTCTTGACGAGCCGGGACGACCTGGGGAGCAGTGGGAAAGCTTTTTGTTGCCATGAGCCGCACAGGAGCTGCTGCCGATCTTTCCTACGAGGTTTTCATCCGCGCCGGCACCACCGCGGAAGCTTTAACAAAGTGATAGTAGTTTTTTTTCTTAAGTTTAAAGGAGAACAGCTGCCAAAGTGGGTGGTGGCAGTCCGGCACCTCCGCGGGGAGAGAGGGGCCGGCGGCGGGAGTGAGGAGAGGCAGGGGCTGAGCTGGGCCGGGCCGGGCAGGGCAGGGCAGGGCAGGGCAGGTGGGCGGTGCGGGAGGAGGTGGGAACCAGGCCGGGAGCTCAGCGCCAGTCTGCTTGAGCGGGGGGATCTGCAGCTCCGCGCTGCCGGGGTGCCCTGCCTGCCCCCCGACACACGGCTCAGCACGGCACAACAGGACACCTCGAGCCGCCACAAAGCGGGCGCGGCCCCGCAGGTGGGTGCTGCGGAAGGGCCGGGAGGGGGAGATGGCTCGGGCCAGGCTGTGGGCATGGCTGTTCTCGGAGAAGAGCTCCGTGCCCTGCGGAGCCCTCCTTCGAGAGCGGCGGCGTGGCCGGGCAGGTGCTGCACGGGAGGACTGCTGAGCCTCTACGCTTCTTTCTGCTCCTCGTCACTTTCTTCCTCTCTTTCTCTCCGTTCCTTCTTTCTTCCTTTCCCCTCTTACGTTTCCCTTCCTCTTTCTCTGTTTATTCCCCTTCTTCCCTCTACCCCATTCCCTGTCTCCCCTTTTTCCTCCCTCCTCTTCCGGCAGGCTGTTGGCCTTGAGGGTGCTTGGTCGGTGTGAAGTGTGCTAGCGAGCGCAGGGACATTGGACGCTCTTGACGTGCTGCAACTTGGGATGTGCCTTTTTTTTTTTCTTTTTCCCACTCTGTTAACGATGATAAAACTGAAAAACAAAAACCTTGAAGAAAACTCCTTTTGTTTTCTTTATTTTTTTTCTTTTTCTTCAGGAGAGCAAAGCTGTTTATAAGGTTATGAATAGATTTCTGTGACCGAAGTTGGGTGGGAGGACTCAGAAGCCTGACAGGAGGCTCAGTAATGCTCTGGCACATTGCCTCCTTCAGTATTGCTCAGAAAAGTAGATTTCTTTGTGGGAAAGAGGAGGAGTGGCAGCAGGAGGGAATTGCCGTTTTGCAGTCTGCAGTTTTAAACTTCTTTTTTAATGGAATATGAGGTGGGCAACCACAGAGCTGGCAAGAGTGTCAGAAATGGTAGTGACAGAAGAAGGAACAAATCTAGCATTTCAGTCTACTGGATTCAACTTGAAAATTCTTGTGAAAAATAAAGCAGTATTTGTAGCTCAAGTTGGAGCTCAGTTACAGTGATACATTGCTTTTGAAAGTAGGTGTAATATGAAAGAAAATACTGTGTTCATTTTCTTTCACCAGTGTTTTTTTTTTTTTCCTCTATCTATAGTAAACATATGTGTTGGCATCATCTCTTTCCTATGAATCTGAATTGTCTTGGGTAGTACTTTCCTGAGGCCAGAAGAACCAAAAGTTGCCTTAAAACAAATGAAAAATACCTTTGTTAAATCTGTTTTCTCTTTCTCTAACTTGAACAAAATGCAGTAGGGAACATACAAGCTGAAGATTTATTGTCTGCTGTGCTGAGAATATGGTGATTTAGTGAGTAAAATCCTGCTCTCCAAATTTGTTGCCACAGTGGAAAACCCACTGCTGGTCTTATGAAAAGATTTAATTTTGTTTTTTCTAATAATTTCCTCCTGGATTTCATTTGGATTCCAACATAATCCAGTTGACAGTTATTCATTGCTAATCATATACAGCACTATAAACTATAGTATGGGGGATGGTGGGGTGTGTCTGTCTTTCTGTGCATTTTGCAGTGGAACCTACTTCCAGGTAGTATCTGCTCCTTAAACAAAAGAACTTTCATTTTTGAGCTGTATTTTGTGTGCAGTTGTCATGCAAGTCAGCTGAAACTCCTCTCACCTGGAGTGAACACTGAATTAACAGTGAAAAAAAAAACAAGAAAAAATAGTATAGTACCTCTTAAGCTTAAAAGAAGGAAGTATTATATTATTGACTTGCACAACAGAGTTAAACCTGTGCGCCTAAGAATGATGCTGATCCTTGTTAGTGTTACAGGAGTCATCTGTTCTTTTCAGAGATTGTTGCTTCTGGTACTACTTGTGCTTAAGCTCACTGACAAGCAGTAACTGTAGGCATGGCTTTAAAATACTGACTTCTACCCATGACTAAAGGAAGTCTCTGCAGAATAATATTTTAAATACTGCACTTGAAGAGGGATCCAAGTACTCAAAAATTTGACCACCTCTTC